AAGGATAAGAAAATAAGTTTTAATAATAAAATAACTGAACTGGAAGAAACTGTTTTAACAGCAGAAAACAAGGTGATAAAGAAAATATATAAGATTTTATTGGACGATGTGATGGTTGATGAAATGGTGAAAAAAATATGATTATATGGGCCCAGAATATAGGCCGTAATATTAATTTTGAAGAGTGGGAGCAGATTTGGCGGGAAAATATAAAATTAACTAATGCTGTGTCATATAAAGAGAACATGTATAAGATATTTTATAGATGGTATATTACACCAGCAAACTTCAGAGGATGGCGGAAGACAGGAGGGCCTGGCGGGAGATGATCCATGGGGTCGCGAAGAGTCGGACTCGACTGTGCGACTGAACAACAACAACAATATTACACCAGACAGATTAGCTAAACAAAATAGTAACTGCTCTGATAAATGCTGGAAATGTAAACATAAGATTGGCTCTTTTTATCACATGTGGTGGCTATGTGATGTTACAAAGAGATATTAGAGATGGATTCATGAGATAATGGAAAAAATAACAAGAACTAATATCCCGTTTAATCCAGAGATACTGTTATTGAATATATTTCTGAAAGACTTTGATAAAGCAGATAGGTATTTGATAGTTCATATGTCGACAGCTGCAAGGATATTATTTGCCAAATATTGGAAAATAATGGAAATACCAACGAAACAAGAGTACGTGAACAAACTATTTGAAATGGCGGAAAATGACAAACTGACATTTGAGATGAGAGAGCCGGCACAGAATGGACTTTTCAAAAAACTTGGAAGAGATTCTATGATTGGTATAATGTAAACGCAACTGATAGATAAATGTAGTAATTTGAGAACGCAGAAAAGATAAGCTTAGTAAAATAAAGAATTTAGAAATTTAATAAGCAGAAGAAGTGATAAAAGTCTCTTGTTATATGTTGTTGGGGGTAGTTGGGGGTAGTTGGGTGTTGTCTGTATGCGTGTTTGTAGTATATAATGTAAAAAAACCCACAATAAAAGTGTACCCTCGGGTACTTTAAAAAAAAGAAAAGGAAATTTAAAGTATGGTTACGCATGCTGAGAGAGAGAAGGCAACATGATATAGTTCCCGCCAGGGCCAGCCCCAGGTTTTTTGCACACTAGGTGAGGATACCTTCTGGCGCCCTCCCCCCCGTGCGCCCACCAATTTTCAAACATAAATGCATTTTAGGAAGAATGAAAAATACAAAATTTGAAATCAAGAAACTCCCAGAGTACGGTGGTTTATTTGAACAGCAAACAGAACCAGGGAAAGTGCATCATATACTTAGGTTCTTAGCCTGAATGGAAAGCTGCATGCAGACATAATGGTAAATCACGGTTTGCTCTATGTGCAATAAACTCTTTTCAGCAAATAGTATGAGCTTTTTTGTGCACAAACACTCTTCTTCAGATACAATGAAATGGAAATAGTAATAAGTCATATATAGAGAGAGTGGGCAGTAACTTAACATACATGTATGTTAAAAAAAGCTCTTAACCACTACACCATGCTGGCTTTTCCAGAGTAACTGAAAAATTATCGCTAGGAAAAGTTGAAGGGAGCAGGAAAAGAGGACGACCCAACATGAGATAGATTGACTCAATAAAGGAAGCCATGGTCCTCAGTTTGCAAGACCTTAGCAGGACTGTCAACAATAGGATGTTTTGGAGGATATTAATTCATAGGGTTGTCATAAATTGGGAGCAACTTGAAGGCACTTCACACTCTCTCACACACAGCACATGTGGTCTTCTCCCTTGCCACCCCCCTGTAAAGAAACCTTGCTGCTAGTGGCCTTCTTCATGAAATCCAGATTGCTGGAGAAGCAGGTTTTTTTTCTGACTTTCCTCTTGGATCCCCCTTTGGACCTGAAGCCGTGGGCGCTGTTTAATCTGTACCTGAGAGCTGTATTTTGACCAACCCTGAGGTTGAGAAACTAACTCCACGTGTTTATGTGCTCTGTTTCCACTTTTCGTGTGTTTTTATTTTGTTTTTGCTTTGTCCTCTTGGGTACCCTAAACTGAGTCAAATGGGGGATCCAAACAGTTTTACATAAATGAATAATTATTCCGGATTAAATGATAGCATGGATCCACCCTTCTTTAGCCTATAGCCAAACCTTCATTTTACTGTCATTCCCCTGAATAGGTAAAATTAACTCTCCCCACCCCAATTTAGGGAGGCTGTCATTTCTTTAAATCAGACCAGCTCACAGCAAAAAGTGCAGTGAAAAACCCGATGATAAACCCGGTCTTTCTAAGATGCTGGAAGCATAAATGAAAATGAGTGTTTAGATTTGGGGGCGGGGGATATAACCTGCAGAAAGTAATTTCAGCGAGAGACGTCTGCCATCAAGGTGCGCCCATCCCTAGGAGCTGAGTGCAAGGGAGGGTGAGGCAAAAGAGAGAGGCTAACACAGGCTCCCCAGAGAGGGCTGGCCGTTCTCATTGGGGAAGGGGGCGGGTGGGGAGCAACAGGAGCTCACCACCCGAGCATTCAAGCATGGGAGTTTCTTGAGCACAGTCAGGGTGAAGGCAAGTTCATCAATAACTTATGTTGTTTTGGTTTTTTTAAACTTTATGTTGGTTTCCTTGGCCAGCCCTCCTGCTCCCTGAGGCTGGATCCCCCCCCCGGCGAGCATCGGAGGCTCCCAACCCCAGTCCCCCCCCACGCCTTCCTTGCCTTCCTGGGGATGCACCCCCCCCAGTCTTTAGCAGGCTGGGCACAGAGTCTCCCTGGCGAGGGTGGCTGTGGAGGACTCAGGGGCATCCCTCCCTCTCTGCCACCACAGGGACCAATAGGGAGGAGGAAGATGAGCGGCCCAATCATCGCTCAGCCCCCACGGCGACTGCAAGGGCGGCGGCAAGCCCGGCCTCTTGGACATCTCCGCAGGGACAGGCCACCCACTGGGTGTGACCCTGGCACAGGAGGGGCGCTCAAGCTGCCCACACGGAGAGCCCCCCCGAAAGGTGGCAGCACTCTTGCTGCTGCTTCAGGTGATGGCGGCATCTTCCCACCCCACGTGCAGCCGGCACAGGGCGGCAGGTGGCCAAGAGAGATTGGGAGTGAGAGAGAGAGAGCCACCTTTCCGGTGGGGACTCGGCAGCGGGGGCACATGGGAGTAGCCTGCAGCTGGGCATGAGACAATGAGATGTCAGGGCGTCCGGCAGAGCTCAGCGGCAGCTGCAGCACTCGCCACCACCGTGGCAGGGAAGGCAAGCTGCTCCTGAGCTGGGGGCGCCGAAGGATATATTGCTGCGGCACCTTTCACTACAGCGTCAGTTCTGCACCCCTCTGGTGTCTCCGCTCAAGGCAGTTACCTAGGTTCGCCTAATGGTAAAGCCGGCCCTGGTTCCAGCTCATCACATGTGAGGAAGCTAAGTAGGGTCAATATTTGGAAGGGAGACCACCGAGGAAGATGCTGCAAAGGAAGGCAATGTCAAACCACCTTTGCTTCTCACTTGCCTTGGAAGTCCCTTGTTGAGGTTGCCAAAAGTTGGCTGCAACTTGATGGCGCTTTACACACACACAGGCATGCTGAAAGATCAGTATAGAAATACATTAACTGAACAGGACAAAATAAAGGAAATACGGGAACAGTACACTGAAAAACTATACAGAAGAGATTAAAAGATGACAGATTCCTTCCAAGAAGAAACTTTCGAGGAAGAAACTACAGTTTTAAAAAAGTGAAGTTGCATTGAGAGCGATTGGGAGAAACAAATCACCAGGAGTAGATGGGATTTCAATAGAGCTATTCCAAGCCACAGAAACAGAATTCATCAAAATCTTAACAAGAATATGCCAATAAATATGGAAAACAAAACAATGGCACATAGACTGGAATGCCCAATGTACATTACAATTATGAAAAAAGAAGACGTTAAAGACTTCAGCAACATTTGGACCACCACATTAATTTCTCACGTGAGTAAAGTCATACTCAAAATCTTACAACAAAGACCTGTTACCAGATATGGTATGAGAAATGCCAGATGTTCAAGAACTAGAGGAAGAGGCACTAGAGATCATACTGCAAATTTACAGTGGTTACTGGAGAATATGAGAGAATTTCAGAAGAAAATCAGCTCGTGTTTCATAGACTGCAGCAAAGCTTTTGATTGTGTGGATCATGAAAAGCTATGGTTGGTTTTCGAAGAAATGGGTGTGCCACAGTATCAGACTGTTTTGATGCAGAACCTAATGTGGAACTTGGACAAGATGCTAGTCAGGACAGAATATGGAGAAACAGAATGGTTTTCAATTGGCAAAGGTGTTAAACAAGGATGTATTTTGTCTCCCCATCTTGTCAATCTATATGCAGAACATATCATAAAAAAAGCTGAACTAGATTTCGATGAAGGTGGAATGAAAAGCAGTGGAAATGAACATTAACAGTTTGAAATATGCAGACACCACCACATTACGGGCAGAAAATAGTAGACTTGAAACGACTCCTGTTGAAGATTAATGCAGAAAATGCCAAAGCAGGATTACATCTACATGTCAAGAAGACAAAAGTAATGACTACTGGGGAATTATAGAACTTTAAGGCTGACAATGAAAAAATGGAAATTGTTCAAGATGTGCTCTATCATCAACCAAAAGGGAGACTACAAGCCAGAAATCAGAAGGAGATTGAGACTGGGGAGGGCAACCATGAAGGAGCCAGAAAAGATCCTTCAGTGTAAGGATGTGTTGCTGGCAACCAAGGTCAAGATAATTCACATTATGAGAAGACAAGGGTCACTGGAAAATACAATCATGCTAGGAAAAGTCGAAGGGAGCAGGAAAAGAGGAAAACTCAACATGAGATGGATTGACTCAGTCAAGGAAACCACAGCCCTCAGTTTGCAAGACCTGAGCAAGACTGTTAATGACAAGGCATTCTGGAGATCATTAATCCATAGGGACGCCATACATCAGAAGTGACTTGATGGCACTTAACACACACTCAAATAGAATAAAATAGTACTACTCACTCTTTGACCTTTTGGTCCCTGTGGTCCTGGAGATCCTCTTGGGCCTGAAGGCCCCTAAACATTAAAAAAAGATTTTCAATATGAATAGTTCCAAAAGGCCAGTAATTCCCTTATGCTAAATTATGCAGGTGTATTCTCAGTGGCTGCATTCAGATGTCATGACAGTTTGTCTAAATCAATGACTGTTCAGAACTTTAAATGAATTAGCAACATTATAGAAATTTTCTGTCATCATACCACATTGATGTGACATTTGTGCAAATTGGGCACTGGCTGGTGTGCCAATTGGAGATAACTTCGTCAAACCCTAATCCCCATGAGCCCACGCCCCACCCATGCCACTAGAGCTACACTACATAAATGCTGGCATTTTCAGTGGGCATGAAGAAGAACACCCCGCTCCCAACTCACAGCCATAGTGCAGCTTAGGATATCAACTTAGGCTGTAGCCAATAACAGGTGTCCTAAACAGGATACCCATATCTGAGATGATAGGGCCTGAAGCTTGGCACCATCTCTCTGACTGCTTCTGTATTTGGTTGGCGTGAAAAAAATCTTTGTTATGCCCATCTATAATTGGTGGATCTGGGCAGTGTTGCTATGGTCTCCATTGTAGCTGTTATGCTGTTAGGTCTTTTCTGAATTTTTTTGGGGGTATATACCAATAGACCACAGGATGGCAACTAAGAATGCAGACACTATGCTAGTGATACACCACCAGTCCAGGGATTATGAATGGTTAAAGTCTGTTATGAACTCATTGGAACTTAAACTTTCTGCTCTTTGGCCAGATTTATTTATTTATTTAATTTATACCCCGCACCCTATCTCCACAGGGGACTTGGGGCCGCTAGATGCTGCCTATGTGTTTTCATTTTTGGTAGGGATTTGTGTGTGTGTGTGTTTGTGTGTGCTTCCTTACATCACTTCTGGGTTTTTACTGGAAGCGATGTAGCGATGCAGCCAATGTAGCACCTCCCACGTCCCCATCCCAAACTCTCCCGCCAGTTGTCAGGCTTACAGGCAATCTACTTACAGGCAATCCTTGTGGCCCTATAGGCCCAGGTCCTCCTGGAGGTCCTGGATATCCCTGAAATGGAATGAAATATAGAACTGTTGGTTGTCTGATAGTCCAGTCAAACTTTAGTCGTTGAAATGGTGACATTCAAGCATTTCTTTCCATTATTTGCAACTCATATGACTTGGATCCATATGCATTCTGCCAGCTAGGAAAAGCCAAGACACACTGCTTAGTTGAGTTGTCAATAACTTTCTTGGGTGGGCAGGGTACCAAAATGACTAAGTGGTTTGTCAGAAAGCAATTTTTAATTCAGCTAGCATTCAGTCTCTAATCTTGCACTGCTGATAAGACACTCAAAGGAGAGGCAATGATTTTAAATGTTAGGTACATTTGGGTGACTTTAGATTTCTGTACTCATGTCAAGCTCTATGGTTCCAGGATTTTGTTTCTAGTCCTGGGCAATGTTTCAATGGAGATAGTGCCTGGCATAAAATATCGAAAAATGATGCCAAAACACCACATTAAAAATTAGCCCCCCCCCCCACACACACAGTATTTCAGTGAAAGTGGTAACCTAGGACATTTATTTTAAAATAATTAAAAAATTTATGTAAGCAGTTTCTGATTTCCATTAACCCAGGCTTCACTCTGATGGGATAACTTCTCATTTGTAGTAGACTGAGGCTATTTCACTCTCTCTCCATCTCAACGTGACTTTTACCTCAAAGTAAATGTGAAGTGGTTCTTAGATACATCCCAAGAATTGTATTATCTAAATGTATCAAATGCAAAAGTTCTTTCCAAAGCAAATCTTAGCAAGCAATATTGGCTTCCCCAACTAAGTGGGGAGAGCGGAATTTTACATTTTGCTTTAATAAGTAGTCTAAGAAAACAAAAACTTGGTAGCTTTCAATACTGACTTTTCATTTAATTTATATCCCCCCATCTGGTATCCGATTAATTACTTACCATGACACCTTTTTCTCCAGGTGGGCCCACTGGGCCAGGACTACCCCTCTCTCCCTTGAAGAAACAACAGAGAAACTTTATGATGTGCTGTCATTTTATTGTTACAGTTCTAACAGCTGATGAAATATTATTATGATTATGTAAAAATGACAACCATGACAATAATAATACCTTAAAGAAGCATAGAGAAGTCTCAGAACAATTGTAGGAGATAGTTTGGCTTAGAGAGACTGACTTGCCAAACCCCAATAATTGAGTTTCACATAAAGGAGCAGGAATAACCTGAGTTGCTAAATGTCCAATATCAATTCTTGAGCTACCACAGCATACGCATATACAACAGAATTACCCAATACCCTTGGGACGGGTTCCAAGAAACTATCATCCTTGTTCTGAAACTTGGATTCAACTACAGGCAGGAGAGAATATGAATTCGAGCAGACATCTTATTGTGTGGAAAGGTCAACACCATTCCAGTGTGCATCCAGGCTGATGCTGCCACAGTGTGGCAGTGCCAGTGGTACAGCACAGCTTCTGCCCAGGTGCTAAGGCAATGATAAAATTAACACCTTTCCCCCCACAATGGGGGAAAGTTCATGAAAATGTTCATGAAACTTGACCTTGATTTAGCTCAGTTATCAGTCTTCCTGAGCTCTCACATTATGTTAGCATGGACTAGCCCATTAGGGTTGCCAGGTCTTACCTTGCTGCTGGCAGGAGGATCATCGCTCCTTTCTGGAAGCTTCTTGCGTGCACGGTGCAATGACATCACCCAGAAGTGATGTCATCATGCCACCAACGTCGCACAGCAACACTCTAGGTTTTGGACAAAACTCTATGGTTTTGAGCCCAAATTTATCATAGAGTTTTGCCAAAAACCTAGAACATCACTGCACAATGTCAGCAGTGCGATGATGTCACTTCCTGGTGACATCATTATGCAGCATTAAGGGCATCTGCAGGGAGGAGCCCACAAAAGCCGGGAAACCCCTGCCTGAACTGGAGGGCTGGCAACTCTACCACCCATTAAAGCAGTGACAGCAGCAGGTACAGACTGAGGCTGTTTTCACAAAAGATGTATCCTCAATTGTGTCAAGTAAAACTATCACTCCAGCGCCTATGGCATATGATCACCATTTCCCAAGAGGAAATTCACTGTGCTATGTGCTTTTTCACTACAGTAAATATGGCTGATGATACTGCCAGTTTATGAGACTGCATTTGCCCATCCCCTACAGATTATTCAAATTCCAAAGTCATATTTTAGTAACCAATAAATTGTGATTGCCTTTTTTAAGAGTAAGGGAGAAAGATTCTTCAGGACCTTCTCCACAGATGCAATACCTTTGATCTAAACTTCCTGTTCCCTGTACTTATGATCCTATCTGAAATGTCTTTCAATTTTGCTCTAATTTTCTGGCTAGAAATTAGAAGGATGTTACATTCTCCTTTTCCCCAGGAATTTCCTCCCTGTATTTTTGTGCCACATCTGCATCACAGCTCATAGTACTGCATTGTTATGAATTAACTCAATAATCAGCATCAGATGAAAGACAAAAGTTATGCTGAGCTTTTAAGAATTTTTTTAAATAACACATTTTCATTTGAATAGAATAGTTTTAAGATAGATACGAAAAAATTATTTCAGCAATCCCTGGGAAATAAATGCCATGGTAATAATAACTACCATTTAATATTTGTTTCCACTGGAAACCAATGGAATGGTATTACCATGAACTACTATTTTTAAAAATGCAACTTTATTGGAAAATAACTGTGCCACTTTGCAAATATTGTTCAAGGCTGTTTCATCAGAATTCAAATACAAATTGGGAGAAAACGTTATTCTTTTCAACACGTTGACTCTGACAGTAATATAAATTGACATTAATTTTCTCACATTTTCATGGAAATTGTAATACAATAATAGAATAGGATATTTCTCTAGTACATCCTTTTGAATTCCTGCCATCAAACTACACTGAAATAATTTTTTGTCTTCAGGGCAGAAATACGAAGGTTTGGATGCCAGATCATTCTGACAAATATTTAGGCTTTTAATATAATCCAGCCTGACATTCAATTAAATTATAGTTTCCTGTTTTCGATTTTAAGAAAAGGCATAAACAAGAAGTAACTTCTTAAAACTTTAAATCAGTTTAATACTACAAAGACTTGGCAATACATTTGAAATCTATTGTGTACATCGCCAAACAGAATGTTTTTATTTAATTGCCAAAATATTTCTAATGCTCATGGATTAAGTGAGAACTAGGAACATTTGCTTTTTCATCTCTATTACTGCACTGAAACTAGGATTGTAGGACATCTACAAAGACAGCCCCACTTGAATTTCAAAATGCATCAGACAGGAAAGCAACTAAACAGGGGCAAACTAGTTGACCATACTTAGATATTCCAGCTTTGAAACAAAATTAAAACAAGATTTAAAAAAAAACCCAGCATGCAGGACCTGTAATTTTACTGTATTTAGCATATTACTTAGGTTACAATGATATTTACTTTATCAATAAATAGCACCTTACCTTCTCGCTGGTGCCTCCAGGTGGTCCAATTTCACCTGGCAAACCAATTGGACCCTACAGGAAAAATAAAATAGATGGGTGATTAATAACTTCACCAACAGCCATCACTCATCTATATATCTGTGCCTCAACTCACATCAATGGTGTTAATGGCGTTACCCATGTACTATAAATGTTTTTTCTGTATCCATGAAGTACCCAGTTCGTTTCATTAAAAGTCAGTGGCAGCTAATAATAGTTTATCCTTGTCCTCTAGCTTTTTCATAGTTGTACATTTTAAGCTTTCAGATGAGGACTGGGAGCCATGGAAAAGCTGACGGATTACTGCTTTACTGTAACTTTAATCTTAGCTTCAAACTTTCAAGTCATCATAAATTCTTAAATGATGTCTAAGATACCACTGAAGCAAGCTTAACATTACTGGCTCCAGTCTCATTAGAAAATGTACCCATGGAACCCATTAGTCATATGGGGGGACATGCTAAGATACCTAAATGAAGCAAAGTGTCTGGCTTACTTGACCAAAAGTGGGCAGCCTAGGGTCCCAGGGTCCCAATAATTGTAATGGGTATGGAGTCAGGACAGCTACTGAGCTAATTCATATTACCATTTCTGGGATGGTTAGTCCCAGTTGTTCTTCCCCAGTAAATCAGCCACACATAGTAAAATCAAGGTACCACCTACAGAACATCATTGTGATTACATTTTTCAGCTGACCACTTTATTCATTTTTTAGACTTGTACACCGCCCTCCCAGCCAAGGCCGGCTCAGGGCGGCTTACAACAGAATAAAACACACACATTAATTTAAATCATCCTAAAACAGATAAAACATTTCAACATTTAAGACATTTTAAAGTGCTAGCATTTCATAACATTAATAAATTATTAAAATTGCAGCTCCTTTTGTCATAGTGGTCAGCCCACTGGTCTAATCTTGTGCAGCCGGCACAGGCTGTTCTTATGGCTTCAGGGGACATGGGTCTCTATTGGGGTGGCTCCTAATTAAAGGCCTGGCGGAAGAGCTCCATCTTGCAGGCCCTGCGGAACTGCATAAGGTCCCACAGGGCCCTGATGTTCTCTGGGAGCTCATTCCACCAGAAAGGAGCCGCCGCCGAGAAAGCCCTGGCCCTGGTTATAGCCAGCCTGGCATCCTTAGGACCGGGGAGGGCCAATCAATGTTGTGACCCTGATCGCAGTGCTCTCTGGGGAACATATGGGGAAAGGCGGTCCCTCAGGTATGTAGGTCCCTGACCATAAAGGGCTTTAAAGGTAAGAACCAGCACCTTGAAGTGAATCTGGTATGCTATTGGTAGTCAGTGCAATGCCTTCAGCACAGGCCTTCAGCACAGGCTGAATGTGCTCCCTGGGCTATGGTTGAGAAATGTCCTCATATTATTTTTTACATCACAAAACAGCTCTGTGATTCTAGTACCAGGCCATGACCTCTGAAAATACTTATACCTGATTCAGAAAAATGAGATGGGAATGACATAACAGGTTTATGACTGGATCTGGACTTCACCACTTGAGATTGCAGGTAGTAGATTCCAGCTTTCAGTGTTACTTAGCATTTTAAGAAATCTCTATGCACATAGAAAACTTTAAAAAGCAGAGAGAAAGGTTCTACCCAGTCATATCTTGCTAGTCTGAAGTAATATATTACATTTTTACAGCTCACCATTTTGCCACCTCATTCCCCTGAATGTGTGAACCAAGCCTTAAGTTCGGAGCATTTTATGACAGTAATACTGGAGAATGTGATAGCAGTGGCACTAGGGTAATATTACATCCAAAATGTTGTATTTATTTATTTACTTTATTTACAGTTTACCTTTCTCACAGTCTGAAGGCAAATATGTTATTGACATTTAAAGGTTTCTCCATTGTTTTTTAGAATATACTGAATTATATGTAGAATATATACCACACATAAGAAAGAAGAGATTCCCACTGCAGTGGTGCGATGATTCCATGACATTCATGGACGCAACTATGTGACTTACTGCTACTTTGGATCTGGAGTGCCAGCTGAAACATTTTTATTGTTAACTTCCATAACTGAACACCAAATCATGTTGCAGCTCCAGACTCTGAATATTGATAATTACTGTTGTTGCTGTTATTTTTTAATGTAAGTAGTTTGATTAGCTGTCGTGTATGGTAAGTTGCAGACTTTATATATTACATAGGCTGTCTCCACAAAAAAAGCCTATTCTGGTTTTTCTCGGTTGCTGCCCCCACTTCCAGCTAAAGTGTGCTGACAACTGTGCTTCTTTATGGTGGCCTTCCTCCCCCTTTTCTCAGTTTCTTGGGCTTTCCCTTACACACAGTGCTTTCAGCACCATTAAAGGTGGTGATGTACCGCCATTTCCCCCCTTTTGGATGACATTATATTGGTATGTTGAAATAATGGGGGCTCATTTATTTTGTGTGATACATGACTACTACAAGGATGGTGATTTAAGGGGAGCACTGCAGGTGACCACAGGGGAAAGATAAAAAAGGCTATCAAAGTACTCTGCATTTGCTAACATTCCAGCTAAAAATATTTTAAATAAATAGATAAATTCCAGGCCTACCCCCCCAAGCTGCAAGATCAAACACAAGCTGTTGCTTCCCCTTGCCTTTCTGAACCTCCTCTGCATTTTTAATAACCCAGCCCCCCCCCCAAAAAAAGCTGCACAACCTCTGCATGCTTACTTAACCCTCTTGAATTCAGTGGGCATTGTTCAGTAGATGTTCTATAGCAATAAAGTAAACTAATTTTTTTAAAAAGAAAAGGTGCTGCTAGTGAACATGGTAGCACCTTAGAAAATGGAGATGGCTATAAAGTAGGGTAGGGAAGTTGGCAGATGTAGGCAGCACTGTTAAAAGAGCAGCAAACACAAAAACCACTTCAGGTATGCTCCTTCTGGACACATCAGAGGAAAGGAGATCGGGGGGGGGGAGGGGAGGCCTTGGGAAAATGTAAAAAAACCCACCACCCTGAAAAGCTATGACCAACAAATGGTACTATGTGATCAGCTAGGGCAAAAACTGATGCAGCTAGGAAGCTGAGTTGTAACAACAACTCTCTGCAAAAATGCCCATGATGAGGGTTTTTTTGGCTGTTCTATTGCAATTCTGCAGGCCAATGACATCAGTGTGTCAAATCCTACAAGTCCTCGGTAAGAGTCCAAGAGAAGTTGATGAAATGGTTTCTGAAGATTTTGCCCTTATCTAAATTATTACAACAAACAGGACCACAGTGTATAATAGCTAGTAAAACAGTAAATCACTGTGTACAATTAAACAATATTTTTTGGTTTTTAAATGCAACGTTTAGAATTCAATTATTAACAAAATTACAACAATAAAACTATAATATGCAATATAAAGCTTAGCAGTACATACAGAGCAGGGGTCATTTTGTAGAAAAAGAGCTAGGGGAACTCATTAGCATAACTCATTAGCATATGCCACACCCCTTGATATCAGGGGCCCGGCGGTGGACCTGCAAGGCCAGCGGGAGTGCGAGGAAGCCCCGCCAAGGCCCTCCCTGACCCCAGGTAGGCAGGGGTGGGGAGAGGCGGGGAGGAAGCAACTTACCCTCCCTCTTCTCCTGCCTCCTCCTGGCTGAATGAGGGCTGGAAGCGGGGCGGCCAGAAGCAGGGGCGGGGCTTTCGTCATGTGCCTTCCCCCCGGAGTTCTAGTACACTATCCGTTTGCGGGTCCTTCTTCAGGGTTGTCATTCTGTAATTATTTCTTCATTAGAATAAAGTGCTGCAAGCCATATTTCAAAATGCTAATTCTTATACAATTTTTTGATGTACGCTACCGCGTTTAGATTCTGGGGACTGGGGAGCTCCTATAGCAAGCTCTAATGTGACTGTGCCACTTTGCAAATATTGTGCAAGGCTGTTTCATCAGAATTCAAATAGCTTCCTGAGGGAAGCTTAGCCAATTATTATATGCTGTAGACCCAGTCACATTAGAGCTTGCTATAGGAGCTCCCCAGTCACCAGAATCTAAGCACGGTAGCGTACATCAAAAAATTGTATAAGAATTAACATTTTGAAATATGGCTTGCAGCACTTCATTCTAATGAAGAAATAATTACAGAATGACAACCCTGAAGAAGGACCCGCAAACGGATAGTGTACTAGAACTCCGTTGTTTGTCTGTAACTAGTACTGTATTACTCTGTATGTACTGCTAAGCTTTATATTGCATATTGTAGTGTTATTGTTGTAATTTTGTTAATAATTGAATTCTAAACATTGCATATAAAAACCAAAAAATATTACTTATCTAAATTATGGCAATTGTCACACAAATGTCATTAGTGTCACAGAAGAAAGAGTGAGCCAAATTATAGAATCTGTGGCGTGAATTCCTGAGGTGGAAAAAACAGATTAAACACATGTGATATTTATTAGAAATGAACATAAACACCACGTGAAAACTGAACTGTACATGGGAAGTTTAATGTCTAGACTGAACTTCACTTTGGAAATGCGCCTGAGAATGGGACAAGGCAATAACTGGCAAGCAATGACTCATCATATGGTACATAAGAACCTAAGAGAAGCCAATGTTGGATCAGGCCAATGGCCCATCCAGTCCAACACTCTGTCTCACAGTGGCCAAAAGTACAATGGTGTTTCATATGCATAAATTTTAATGCAATAATCACACTTTCTACTAAATTTATTTTTCAAAAGAACTTTGAAATCACTATTCTCTAAAATAATACCCAGAGTGGTGTTATTTATTAAATTTCTAAGCTGCCCTCCCCTGTGAGCAGTTAAAAGCATCAAACAACCTTCCAATCCCATAGACAACAGTAACCAACAGCAGTTGTAGCCCAAATAAATCCAAGAAGAGCTTTACCAGTAGCCTCCTACACAGTATCCCTCCAGATGGTGACTGAATACACTGGGAGGGAGGGCAGGCAGAAGTGCACTGGCCCCACCCTCACCTGACAGCTTTCTTGTGAATATGGCACCTATACACAGGTGATCAGCAAAACTGAAAAGCAGAATCCCTGATCATGGGGACCAAGTGTATGC